ATAAAATAAAATAAAATAAAATAAAATAAAATAAAATAAAATAAAATAAAATAAATTTGTTGTCTATTCTCCCTGGGGGAAAAATGTGCAGTATCTAGGAGAGGTCCTTTTTATAAATTATCTTCTGCACAGAGAGGGTAATACCAGGAACAAACTGTTCACATGTTGTATATCTAAGAGGTTGGCAAGCAAATATTTCCTGAAGGAAGATTATTCAACTTAAAAAACAGAAGTTAAGCTGGAGAGGTGGCTCAGCAGTTAAGAATGTTTGTTGCTCTTCCAAAGAACCTGAGTTCAGTTCTCAGAATTAATGTTGGATAGCTAATACAATATGTAATGCCAGCTTTCAGGGATCTAATGCCTGCTTCTGGCCTCCATAAGCACCCCCAACACATACTTAAACATAAAAATAAATCTTAAAATCCTTTTACTATTAAGTTAGACAAGCACAGATAATTGTTTGATAATTTTTAAAGTATTTATTACACAGCTCCAGGCATTATGAACCAATTTTAAGGCTAGAATCTTTAACCCAGCTTCTACATGAGCACTGAGCACATATCCCTCCTCACTAAAAGTATAATTTAAAAAATACATTTGTTAAAAAAAAATACATTTGTTATGGGTGTAGGAACAGAAGGAAGAGAAAGAGGGAGGAAGGCAGACAGATAAAACAAAAACCATTGGTTTTCTTCATCTTATATAGCTTTAAAGGCAAATCTTTCCTTCTTTAATTCCGTGAGACTTGACTGCATTACTACATCAAGTTCACAGTCCTCCTACCCTAGCCCCCTAAGTGCTGGATTACAGACATGTGACATCATGCCTAGCCAGCAAGTGACAAGACAGAAATCCCAAGGTCGCGCCATAATCTTTCCAAGATCCTTCAGAAGATGGCCAAAGGAACAGGGTAGAAAGTGTTAGAGCAGGAAAAAATGGAAGATGAGGGCTGATGGACGAAGTGAGAAGAGCAGAAAGCTTGACTTTTATGATATCATTTCTATACCATAACAGTTGAAACACCGGAGTTTCACATTCACTGTCTTGGGATAGTTGAGTCACTCACTAACAAAGCTGCTCTTAGCACAACTTCTAAGTTGTAAAACCAGGAAGACACTTCTTCACAGCTGCTACAACACTTTTGCCCCTTTGGTCCTTACTATTAGGAAAAGCACTTGTGGCGTGTAACTGAGTACAGCATGACCCGCCCTCTGTGCTGTGGGAAAGGCATCTGCTGTAAACAGAAACAAACTCAAGCTTCCAACCTCCATCTTCCCTAGCTCTTCCCTAGAGAAAAAGGTCATGTTCTCTACCATAGATCTAGAAAGTCCCAATTAAGCAGTCTGGAAGAAAGATGATTTCATCAGGCTTAGCTGTAAGTTTCAGGCATTCACACATTAACCAGAATGACTCTATGGTGAGTTTATGTATATGACATCATACAGTCTGAGCTGTGGTCCCTTCCTAACCACTGAAGGGTGTTCACTACCATCTGACTTAGTTCATTCTAAAGGAACTCCCACGCTTTTTGACTTCAACTCATGTAACCAGCTATGACTTTTCAGAAAATAAATCTAATAAATGTGGCTAATGCCCTTTTCTAAGCCCTTATAATATAGACTTCCCTCCTTTAAATAGAATGTTGTGTGGCTCTGTGAGTGATCCTAGCTAGGTTGTCTGTTGCAGCTTAGAAGGATAAGGAAGGGAGGGAGGAACAAAGCAAAAATTAGGTAAGGCAAAATCAATCCCCTAAAGTCACTCAGAATACATGGCCTACCTGGATCACAACTCACTTGCTAGAGTCATATATGACATCGCGCCCCAGGGGAAAACTCACACTAAAAAAGGGTAAGTTAAGGGAGGCCAAGTGAGACTAGGAGAGCGGCTGGTCAAAAACGAGGAGAAGGTTCATCCAATACCTTTGAGAAGATGATGCTGTCCATTTCATCACTGGGTGAGTGAAAGAGGTCAGAATCACTCCCTGACACTCTCTGGAGCACGCCTTCTTTTGAGGCACACTCTGTGCCTAGTCCAACATCTATGAAGCTTCTGCATTCTGAAAAAGAACATATATTTAACAATAACTATTTTTTAAAATTTACTTTCTGTTTCATACCAATATTCAGTCATTTTCTATTGTTCACCTGCCTCTTTGCTTTCCCAGTCTTTTTTTCCATTTTAGATATTTACAAAGTTAGAAAAGACATGGCCTAATTAGTAGCTTTTAGGTATATTAACTGATATAGTTACTTTTTCTGTTAGGCATTTGGCTAGATCCTAGGAAGATCTTTAGAGTGTGCTTGTAGAATGGGTTATTCACAATCTTATGGTATAAATGAACACACTAAGAGATAATTTTATTGCAGAATTATATAAGGAATATAATAACAAGTGAGGCAGTGAGTTAATCTTAAATCTGTTAGTCACAATTATGAATGTAGTGGATAATTTCAGAATGTTAGTTCAATGGAAATAGCATGGCTTCTTCAAAGGACCTTAAATGATAGGTATTCTAGCCACCCCTCCCCACACACACTTTATACAGTGCATAAAAAGTACAGTTGGTGGGGTTGTGATATTTCTATTCCTGCCTCTTTTGCTACTTGGATTTTCATATTGTAATTGAGGGGGAATTGGGGATGCTGGCTAAAAGATAAGGCTGTCACAGCATCAATGCTGTGCTGCTAGAGGGCTAGCTGGCAATCTAAAAGACTATGCCTAAACGCCAGCCTAGAAAAGAAAACCACACAATACATTCTCATAAAGTATCCATAGATTCAGCTCTGGTAGAAGTACCTTACCCCCAAAATAAAGCCAAGCTAGCACAAGGCTACAAGTGTGAGATAAGAAGAGGGCTAATGTGTGAAGTTAAACTGGCTGTGTGGAGGAAAGAAGAATATGGAGGGAAAAAAGGAGTACAGTACATGAAGAGAGGAACCATAAACCATTACAACCCTACCATGACCTTCACAGGCTGGAGGGATCCCTAAAGACAAACTTAATGTACACTCATGTCACATATGCTGGAATATTTTCTAAGAAATAGAATCCTTACTGTCTTCCTACACCTACTTCTTAAAGAATGAGTAAACCAGAGTGAAGACACTGATTTTAGAATGTTTACATTTATCTTGCTTAAAAGAAAAATTCCAGGTAATTAACCCTGTAGGTCTTCACTTCTATATCACTAAAATGCAATGATCAGTAAACCCTAAAAAGTCACACTGACAGTTAATAGCACACTAGAAATGTAATAACTGGATATCTGGCATGTAGCACACTACAGGTATGTGACACATATGGCTAAATAAAGTTCAGGCTTCATTAATCCTTAATATATGAGTAAACTACTTATTCTAGAGTTACAGTGTAAAGAGGTGTTTTAACAATTTGTACAAATATGACCTGACAAAGACTACAACAGAAATCTAGTTCCTCAAAGGGACAAATTGAGCCATGATTTCTAGAAGTCTTTCTGTTTTATGAATGCTTCACTCAATAATTCCAAGACTTCAATCAATAATTACATGGCAGAAGTTTTCATTCTGGGGTAGCTACTTACACTTTCAGAAAAGTCCCTTATAGCTAAAGGAACCAAAACATGGGTTTGGGTATACTTTTACTTCCAGCACCTTTGAATTTGTAGGCCCCAAATATAGTCATGGCATAATATTATGAAACAGCACTCTCAAGAAGTGTGAAAAATACTGAAGAAAACACATTCAACATTTGTTTTCAATACTTCCTTTGTGATGCAGTCAGAGTTGAGAATTGTAAACAGAGGCTTTGTTGGTAAAGCAGACTGAAGAATTCAAAAAAGTAAAGTATTATTTCTCATTTAGCAACATAGAAGCCAGCACAGGAGGGAGCTCAGAGACAGTCACTCACCTTGATGTCTGTGTAACAGCCCTCTGTGAGTCAGCCTAGGAACACTTTACAAATAGAAGACAGGGGAACCCAGACACTGGGAAATGTATCTTATGTCAGAATTAGCTGAACATGGGGTGAAGTTAGGACTCTTAACTAGTGTTATTATCAGGCAAGACCTTAACTTTATTTGTTATTACTAATATATCATGGACTTGTAACAAAAGACTTCTGACAATTCTGTCTATGCAGGAGAACAGGAGTCTTAAAGATTCTAGTGGATGTCCATGCTGCATCCCAACCCAATAAATCTGAACCACTAAGGCAGTGACCAAGGCATCATGTATTCTCAAAGCTCTCTTGCTCAGATGATTCCAGTATATAACTGTCAATGAGACTTCCTGGAATGAAGCTGTATTTGTAAAGACAGACTACAGTGACATGGGAAAGTGGAATGTTGCAGGTCCTGTGATTGATTACCTTATCTAGGTTAGCTTTAGCCCCAGATTAGCTATTCCTTGTCCCCCTCTATGTTGAAACTAATATTGTTTGACTAACAGATACAAATCTTTTGGAATTTATACATAGCAGAACACTACCTTTCACCAATCTGAAAGCTAAAAATATCATCAGATGGCATGTGGGACTTATAGCAGAGCATCATCCTTCTTGCTGGAACCACTCCTCTGATGTTTCCATCAATGTATATAAAAGGTGTCTTGATTTATGGCTTTCTATGTTTTATTGCTGTAAAAACCTTATGAAACTGCTTCTACATTGGGACATGGAATTTGGAATTCCTGAGCTATGGTCACTCAAATTTAGCTCTAGAATAAACTAACTCTTATTCCATTTAAGGCAAGAGCTATGGTTTCTCTTTGTTTTTGCGTCAACACAGCCAAAATTAAGAACCATAGGTTTGGTCCCAGTAATATGTATTTATAATTTTATACCACTAGATTTCCTTACAAATGATTAACAACTCATAGCCTCATAATTACTAAAATTACTATTAATTCCTAAAATTAAGAAAAACTCTTATAACTTTATTTCAATTGTGAAGCCATATGCTTACAAAACTAAACCACATACACACGTATTCTTCCAGTTTGCTGTTTAGCGCACTCAAGAATGGCAGATCACAACATCAAATTATGTCTTATAGAGCAGGACTATGAACATGCATACCTGAGTTCTGGTTGGAAGCTAAGAGAGACGCTGCTTCAGGGCAGGGCTCTATGGTACACCAGCTTTCTCGGTTGATCTGGAAGATACAAAGAATTTGTTTCAGACAATAAGGAATAGCACCAAAAAAAAAAAAAAAAATCTATGTATTGTTCATACCCTCTGACTGTTAGTATTCTATTGCAAGGTAGGTAAAGTTATGCTAGGAAAGAAAACCAAACTCTACTGCTAATAAAAATAAGGCAGTCTACACTCAGCTGAAAGCTCTGAAAAGACTGTCAAGTAAAAATGGCATGTGAAATCAATGGAAAAAGATCCACAAAAAGCAATGTTTAGACCAAAGGTGAAATAAAGAAATTAACAAATAGAAAGAAAAAAATACTAAAATACTTACTTGGTGTTGTAACTTACAATCTTGAAAAGTATACAAAATTTGAGGATTTAAAAAAATACAAAATAATCCCTATTTAACTATCACTACCCACCAGATACCATGTTAAGAATTCAGTACTCACTTTCTCATCAAATAATCATAATAGCTACAAGAAGTTTGTATCGCTTCTATTAGACCAAAGAAGGCAGGCTCAGAAGGGCAAAACACAGCAGGAACGGCACTGGGAGTGAGTGTGCAAGACGTGGAAATGCAAATCCATCCGGCTTAACTACCTTATCCTTACAACTTCTTAATTTAATTGTTCCAGTAGTATGTGTTTTTAATTAACATCAAATATCCAACACTCTGTTCTCATTAACTGACGGAACAAGTAGACACAAGGACCTAGAAAACTTCAGAGACACCCGACGATCCTGCCTAACTGACACAGAACATGGGGCAGGCAGGGCACATTCTTAACAAGTGGACTTAAGATGTTCATATGCACTACACAAAACAATGCTAAATAAAACAAAACTTCTGCATATTTAACTGGATTAAAGTCACAAAAAAGTATGCTTTTTTTTAACCACAACACTACTAAACCATAAACACAAATCAAAAGACTGAAACCCTACACAGATTCCAAAAAAGAAAAACTTTTTTTTTTTTGCAAATAAAACTACTAAGTAACCCACCCCTCATCTAAGAAAAGTTAAAAGAAAATTAAGACTTCTGAATAAAAATTTTTGGGATATCTCTAGTTGCAGCGTTTAGAACAAAAATATAACACTTAAAAATACTTCACTGAAAAAGTTCCAGGAGAAAGATAAACGCTAACCAGACACAAACCCTTGGACTGATAACGGTCTCCTGCCTACAGGAGATGCTACTGTATGGTGGCACAGTCTGTGAGAGGAAGTGATCAACAGCATGTGATGTGACTGAGGGGACACTCTGTGGGAGAGAACCAATACCTGACACTGCTTGGGTAGCCAAGAACCTGAGATTAGACAGTTCAGGGACCTAGGGTAAAACCAAAAGTAACAGCTGAATGGTGGTGGCCCACACCTTTAATCTGGGAGGCAGAGCAGGCAGATGAATCTCTGTGAGTTCTGCTCTACAGAGTAAGTTTCAGGACAGCTATGGATACACAGTAAAACCTTGTTTTGAAAACAAACAAACAAACAGTAACAACAAAATGACTCCCAATGATATTCTGCTATACTCACAGATCAGTGCCTTATCTAGCCATCACCAGAGAGGCTTCCTCCTGTAACAAACTGGAACTAATACAGAGACCCACAGCCAGACATTAAACAGGGAGCAAGAGATCTTAGAGCACTCAGCTCTAAAAGAGATGTCTCCATCAGATTCCTCCTCTAAGGGCTCAGGGAACTTGGCAGAAGAGAAGGCTGAAAAAGTGTAAGAACCAGAGGGGATGGAAGATAAAAAATATCAAGGCCTTCTAGATACAACAGGGCTGGCATACAAATGATCCAGAGCCAGAGGGGATAAAACATATCAAAATATCAAGGCCTTCTAGATACAACAGGGCTGGCATACAGATGATCCCATAGAGACTAGGACAGCTTGCCCAAGGCCTGAACAGGTCTGCACCAGATGGGCTCCTAGAGCTAAACGAAGTGGACACAGGCCCCCATCCCAGAAGCTATCTCCAACTGGCAACTATGTGCAAATGAAAATTTGTTTCCTCCAAGGGAGTCTCACTGGGGAAACAGACCACTCTTAAGAGTAGGCTGCACATCCAGCAGCATATGGCCAGCAGAAAATGAGTGCAATGGCATTTTTTGGAGGTTCCTTGTCTCATAATGTAATGTCACAAATTTTTCCATCTTTTAAAAAATTTGTTTTATTAATTCTTATTTTTGTGTATTTTTCCTTTTGTATTTTTTCCTCTTTTTACTCTACAGGTCTTCTGGTTATATGTTATGATTTCCAGTTTAGTGTTTTCATAGGGTTTTGAAATGTACAGATGATAGGTCTCTGTGTCTTTATTCTTGTGCCTTCTCTTGGGGTCTTTTCCTTCTGTTTGTTTTGTCCTATTCCAGTGTGTTAGCTTTTGTTGAATCTTATTATTTTTATCATGTAGGGACATATTTGTTTTGTTTTTCTTTTTTTCTTCTTTAATATTTTCTGTTTCTTTTTTCAAGACTTGACTGTCCTGGAACTTACTCTGCAGGCCTTGAGCTCAGAGATGCACCTACCTCTACCTCAGGAATGCTGGGATTAGAGGCCACCACTAAAGGATTGGCCTGTTTGTTTTCTATGAGAGGAAGGGGGTAGATCTGGGGCGGGGAAGAAATATTATAATCAGAGGTGAGGGGAAACTGTAATTAGAATATATTGTGTAAGAAAACTATCTATTTTCAATTAAGGGAAAAAATCAAGGCAGTACATTAATCCAAAACCTGCAAAAAAACCCCAAAACAAACAAAAAACCCTAGAATGTACAGAAATGAGTGATTCAGAAAGCAGGAAAACACCTAGTTTCAACAGTCAGAAAAGCTGGTCAATAATATCAGCAAACCGAAGCAGCTCTTATGAGGAAGGTTATAAGCTACCCAAGCTACATGATGGTATCACAAGTCTAAGAGAGAAACCACAGGGTCTACAGTCAGGAAGGATAATAAAGATTCACTATAAACAACATTTGTGTAAAGTTCGATACTCTAAAGAAATGATCAAAATTTGTTCACAATGACATAAATAACTTCAGTCTTCATTCAAGTTACTGAATTTGTGGTTTAGAACTTTCCGTCAAAGGGAACCCCAGGCCAAAAGGCTTTCTGGTGAATCCCACAAACACTTAAGGAAGCGATAATACAAATTTTACACAAACTCTTTTAGGAAACAGACAAATAAACAACAGTCACAACTTGTTTTCTGAGCCTCCAACATCAAAACCAGATAAAGTCAGAAAAGCATTGATCACTCTTAGGAATGGTGCAGAAGAATCACCAGCAGAATTTTTGATAACCTGACTTAGGCAATACATGTGGAAGATAAGCATATCGTGAACAAGTGGGTTAATTCTAAGAACAAAAGGTTTTCATAGCGTTGCAAAAGAAAAGTATATACTTAACAGCAACTGATGGAAGGGGGAAAGGGAAGGGGAAAATGATGTAAATACAGTAGTCTCAAAAGAAAAAATAAACACTTTAAAAATTCAATATAAGTCTATCAACCCTCAAACTGAGAAAAACCAAAAGGCGAAAACTTGGTAAAAATTGATATCTACTAAAATAAATTATCAGAACACTAACAGAAAAAAAATTTCTCAACTTGATAAGACGTTCTTAAAGACACAACAAAACAGCCCTATAGTTAGTCAGCACCATTCCCAATGATATGAAGACTAAGTGCATTAATCTGAAATTAAGAATAAGCTCGCAGAACAGCCACCGTATCACTTGTATCCAGTATTGCTCTGGAGGGATACTCAGTGCACTAATCAGAAAAGAAACAATACATGCAACTGGAAGAAGTGAAACTACTCAAAGATGACCTAACTGTCTACATAGAGAATTCCAAACAACAAAAATGCTACTAGAATAAGTGCCTGAGGGTTGTGAGGCAGACTTCCAAATCAGTATTAGTTTTATGTATTGGCAAAGATGCGTAGACACTAAAACTGAAAGTAAAAGCTATAGTATTTATAGTAGAGCCAAGACATTTATTTAGGGAAAAATGTAAAAGATGAATAATATCTACACCATGAGAACTAAAAAAATACTCACTGAAATTAAAGGCTCATACAGAGAAAGCACATTTACAAATCAGAAACTCTAATAGTTATATCCCTAAAGTCATACACATGACTTTAAGAGCCACATAAATCAAACCAGTATAGTACTGGTGTAAAATAGAATAAAGGTCAGTGGAAAAGAACTGAAGCCAGTTACTTAATTTGACAAAGATGTCAAGTTATTTCAATAAAGAACAAGCAGGCAGGGGACTAGAGTAAGCAGCTTATTAAAAAAAAAAAGCATGAATATAAGATATACATGAGAAAGCATTCCTAGCTGTGCAATTCAACAGAACAAGTGAAAACTGTAAGGAAGACTGCCCAGTGGTTTGGGGTGTCTGCTGCTCTTTCAGAGGAAACCTATGTCAGGCAGCTCAGAACTGCCTGGAACTCCAGCTCCAGAGAATCTGATGCCCTCTTCTGGCCTCTGCAGGGGGGTTGGGGGGTGTACCTGCATACATAAAAAAGTTAAAATAAACCTCATAGGCATTCAAATATATGCCCACTAGAACAGCTAAGATTAAAGACTAATAGTACAAAGTGTTGTCCGGAATGTAAAGTAATGGAAACACGGACATACTGCTAATGTCATGTGAAAGGATGGTCAGAAACATTCAGACTCCACCCAGCAATGGATTCAAGTTATTATTAAAAGCAAAATCTTTCTTTTAAAACTCTTCCTCTCCCCCCATCCCGTGTGTGTGTGTGTGTGTGTGTGTGTGTGTGTGTGTGTGTGTATGTGTGTGTGTGTAAGTCAGAAATAACTTGAGGCAGTTGGTTCCCTCATACCACAATGTAAATCCCTGTTATCAAACTCAGATTATCAAAGCACCTTGACCTACTGAACAATCTTTCCAGCCCCATATTTCTGTACTAAGACCTTTTAATGGCAGCTTAACTCATGAGAGACTCAGACTGGCAGAAATAACTTGTCATA